GCAGTCTTCTTCTTACAAGCGGGAATTCATACATATGTACGTGTATTTGTATTATATAGATGTCAGAAATTGGATCACAATCGTCCAACTGACATGGTCATATCCCGTAGAAGAGATTATAGTGTCATTTCCCCTTTCCTTCTCTTGTCCCGCCGAAACAGTATAATATTTACCGAGATTGCGCGAAGAGAACAAATTGACTGTCTTCAAACTGTGCTCCGGTGGTAGTGTAACAATAGGATGTATATTTACTGCCTGTAGATATACATTCGTTAAAATGTAAAAGTCAGCAAACAACACTAGGGGGAGGTGTAGGTTGTTAACAAAAAGCAAACGACCTACCCAGAGACCGTAAATTGTTGAGAGGAAAATATAAATGTAAACTTGTGTGTGTGTATACATTATGAATTTTTAAATTTTCTGTAGACCGAAGACCCGAGTAGTATAGTGGATGAAGATAAGTACAGTCTGGGCTATTGTACACGTTTACTAGCCCGACGCATATAAAATGTGTGCACATACCCGAGACGTAGACATTATGGTTATGGGTTGCAACAAGAAAAAAACAATTTTATATTAATAATTTCTAATGCACACGTGTACACTGAACACGGTGCTCCGAGAACGTCGGCCGTGTAATTTTATTGCATAAAAGCACACGTGGTATTTTGATAATAATAGCTCGATAGTCTCTTTGTAATAGCTGTAAGCCGGGCTGTCACTGTCCAAAATATTTTGCTAAACTACCAATGTCGAGCAGTCATGCTAAAAACCGAACCTTCCACGTCAGTCAGCCGTCGATCGTCTTTTTACTAAAACTTTATCGTTATTTAACTAAAATATATTAATATACGTCGATACGGTGTTTTATTACTGAAAAAGATATTTACTAAAATAACTTAAATTATATTTAAAAAATTCGATGAATTTCCAATAGTATTTTACAAAATATGATAATAAGAAATAAGCAGACAAATATTGTCGACATGTAATTAATCTGTATAGTAAATATATAATACAAAGCATGGTATCGATAATTACAAAATATTGTTGGTCACTTTATACCAGGTAATCCATATAACATAAGACACTTATTTGCTTGAAAAATCATCAAAAACGTGTAGTTTTTGCTTTTTAAGACATTTTTGTTTGTTATAATAATAGTAGTTACCAAATATTTACTTTTTTACAGTTTTCCAACGATATAAACTTATGAAATTTATATAAATTTAAATTATTTTAAAGAAGCATTTTTATGAATAATTTGCCAAAATTGCCAAATTGTCGATAGCTAGTTTTGAATAATTATTTTTAAAGCTATTCAGAGTTTGAAACTTAGGGCAGGAGGTCTAGTTATACAAAAATGGATTTAATTGAAAATTGTTTATATGTGTACAGTTTAAATATTCCAGTTTCGAATAATAATTATTGTAAATGCTTATATTTGTCGTGTAATATATATATATATATATATATATATATATATATATAATAGTAGAAAAAATAAAGGCTAAAAACGTTATCATGTTTAAATGTCAGTCGCGCACAATATCTGCAAAATATAATTTCTAAAACATCACGTCAAACTTCGTTGCAAAACGAAAATGTCTAGTTGGTCGTTTTGATGTGTCTGTGGGGCTTCTACTTAATCTAATGTTCGGTCATTATCAATAGTAAAACTTTCTGGCGTGATTTGAACTTTCCCTCTATATTACAAATATTCTCTGCGCCTTTTTTCTTTTTTTATTGTAATAAAAGGGTGCGTGTGTATGTGTGTGGTGTATTTGTCAAAAAAGTTTGAACAGTTTGATGTATATATTTATATTATTAAAATATTATACATTATTATTTTTTTACCCTCTTTGTCAGTCAAGATTTAATATCGTCCATCGGTTGATGGATGGCGGTTGCGTGATCGCAAGGCGGCGGCTAGGCGATCCATAAAAGACCCACGACTATCTTTACATACATATAATAATATACACGATGTATTGAGGTAAGCCGGTGGTTGTAAAACCACCGCAAAAACCATAATATTAATAGACGAACACATGTTCCGTATTATTATTAGTCGATGGCATTTTGGCAGGTCGTCAAAAAGTTATAACGCACCTATGACATGACGGTAAAATCCACAATGATAAAGCTGGCGTTACAGAGACGCATTTACAAAACGCTGAGCTTTATGCTTTTAATAAACGTTATATGGAAACGGTCATAATGTTAGTAAATATTTAAATTCAATTATTAACACTGTGTAAATAATTGGTAGTAAAGAAAAAATAAAATAATTTTTGTAACATTATTCAGTATTCACTATTCAATTATGCAATAAGATCTGCTATTGGTGTCCATTTACTAATTATTAATCATGATAAAACTCTAAACAACCAGTGTGTATCAACTAACTATGTGTTATGTACATGTAAAGTTCTAGTATGGAGTGAAGATAGCTGTCACGCTTAACGTTTAGTATTAAACAAACGCTGATATAAGCCTACGCTTAACAAATACAAGGCTACTATTAATCATAATTTTAGTCGACCCATCTATACAATTTTTTTCCCGAGTATATTTATACTTCTTTTAGAAATTGAACTATCATTTCGACCGGCCCTAAAACAGTAAGACCTCTTATTCAAGTATCATTTTATTATGATTTTATAATTATTATCATCGTGTTGGTTGAAAACAAACAGATGTTTCTGTGGTCGGCGCAACGGCGGTTGCTTTGATGTTTGCGTGAGCGATGAATGAACGTTTTAAATCGAGTAACGAGGTTATAATATTAAAACTGGCAGCAGCAACTTTCGGTAGAGACGTGGCTGACAGTGAAAGAGAGATACATAGGCGAGAACGGAGGTGTCGCGCCACCATCACCGACGACTACTGTAATTTCGGCGGGCAACCACCGTAAAAGAGGCAATCGTTTTATTTCATTAACCGTGCTATTTCCACCCTGTTTAGCCCAGGCTTGCTGTGTCCCTTCCACCGCCGCCACTATTTGCGCTATCCTCAATGATGCTACCGACGCCTTCCTAACCCACTTCGTCATTCGCTCATTTTTAGAAACACGATCCAATTAAAGCCGATAATTTATACCCCCGCGGAACGACCCATTTATTACCACCAGCAGTACTCGACCTATAGAAGGGGAAGGAAAAGGAAAACAGGTAGGAAGAAGGGGGGCGGGAGGCGAGAGCCCAGTAATTTCATTTTGTCTCTTCTATTTTTCTTTTTCGCTTTCGCTGTCGGTATTAATACTTGTGTTTTTTCCCCTTTCTTTTTACAAAACGTTATTTATTTTCGAGTAGTAAGCGAAGCGACACGTACGTCCATCTTATTTGCGATGAAAAAAAAAAACAATAACATAACAATACGACTAAAAGCATTTTCGTTATCGATAATAACAAAACGATGTCTATATGTTTGTGATTGTTATCGGTCAATACAAAAGTGAAGTGTGTTTTACTTTAAAGCCCAAAAATATGACTTACTACTCCGACACAATGGAAATGAATTCATATTCATTTCTACTATATTATGAAAAATGTATAATGATATTTATAATAATAAAAAAAGCTCTCATATGGTTTCATAATATTTCGTTTTACTGAAAATGAATGTGAAATGTCGCTGTACTAAAAACAGAAACATATTATTAAACATTTTTACCTGCTTGTGGACAAAAAATCCATAAATAAGTAGCAAGCTTCACAAAAAAAAAAAAAAATTGAAATTCGCCTACTAATTATGCCAAAAGTAAATTTTACGAAAGTCATCTTTTATCAAACTTTTGTCACAACTCAAAAATATAACTTTAAAGCTAAAAAATAATAATATTTATTTACCTACAAATTAGTTGGCATTTTTAAAATGGCTTTTAGATTAACTTTTGTCAAAATATTGTCTATTTTTTGGCCCTTAATAAAATATAGCCCTTTCTGTCCCCCTTTAAACAATTTCGTTTGACATTATTTTTGAAAAACGAGCAATAACCATTTGATTTAATAATTTTATTTAACGGGTTTTTGCACAATTACATATTATATCATGTACACGAATTGCATGTGTATGTGTGTGCATTCCATAAATTGTTACCGAGTTTATATAAAAAATGTTTGTATATTATAATATATATAATAGCCATTTGGGGATCCCGTAAACCTATAGAGCTACCTCGACTCTCCACTGCCATTACCCATTTCTCTTCCCTATCTTTAGCGCGGGTGATTTGTTGGCCTGTTAAGTCTATTTAAACGCAGAGCAAAAGCTTAACCAGATTTATTATTATGAATTATAATAAATAATATCATTGCTAGGCTTTAACGCACCGGTGATGTGACTCATACGATAAAATAATAACTCGTATTGCCTTAGGTAAAATGTAGCCCTTTCTATTAAAATAATTGAAGAAATATTCTTTTAGACTTACGGAAAACCTTCAAAATGTACAACATTTAAGAACATTATTATTTCCTCGTATTTCTAACGTTACAAGACATACTTATCATTAACACTGAAAACCTTACACACTTTGTACATCAGGTCTAGTCATGTTAAGTTACACATTTTTCATCGTAAAAGTTTATGTCAGGAGCTACCAAGGACCTAACTTAACGGAATGCAGGTGTTAAACTGAAACCCGTAATAACCATACAATATAACATCGCTTTATACATTATACACAACATTTTAAAATATATTTTACAATAGCGGCTCATATAAAAACCATGTACTACTTATTGGATGGTTTAATAGAATATTATACTTCATAAACATTAGATTAAATCAGAGATCTTTATAAACTCTGGGCACTCCTTGCTATATAAAAAGTGTATTAATTAATTAAGACTATTGGTAAATTTATTATTAAATAATCTTGAAATGTAAATATATGTTATAACCGATTCCTATAAATACTATACCATTTTGTTTTGTTTTGATTTTATTTTACTCTTGTATATTTATCTTTGCATGTATTTGTTTTTATGTTACAGAATCTCTAAGAGAATACTTCAGTAAATTTGGAGAGATTACCGAAGTGATGGTTATGAAGGATCCAACAACTCGCCGATCAAGGTAATGGAAACCAGTGAATTAGATATGTGTGGTATTTTAAGAGCTTCATATTATTGTATTCTACATAAAATTGTAATTTTTCACTTAATAGAATAACCATGAAATTAATCTCAATAACGAGGGATAAAAAATGTAGGCAAAACGCGCAGATCGCCATTAAATTACCAATACATAACATTCCGTACCTACTGTTTTTACCTATTCGAAATTACTTTTATTTTATTTGAAATAACAACAAAGTCAACCACGTCCAAGCACGCGAACCTTATTCTTTTGCTACATTCGTGAACACAATGGAAATGACCTGGATTTTCCGTTTCGTCGCCGCCACCGCCGTCGTTCCGATATGACCCGGAATGAAATTGAAAAAATAAATCGTTTATGGACGGCTTTTCGTAAATTCATAAGCTTAACGATTAAACGCTTTGCAGCTCTAGACAAGCCGATCATACCCGTCGCCGTATTAATGCAAAATCGGATTTAAGCTCAACGACTGGAATATTATTAATAACAACAGCATTATCATTGCTATTAACGTTATCCCGTATTTTGCATCTGCTGTGCACGGAGTTTCTAGCATCTAATTTTAATCGGTGAAGAACGCAGCTGTTCTCGACGACGATTTAATTGTTACCATAGAGCTTCTCAAAGATCGGGGTGCTATTTTCTACATTGATCACATATAACATAATAATGCACAAGTAGAACTCGCTGATCGGAGAGAAACTCCTAGCTAACTACTTGCGTTGTTAATTATTAGTGCGAGTATATAAAGGTTTTAGAGACCTAACACCGCGGTCGCGGGTACAACGGGTGTCAGGTTAAATTATTCACTGTTGCGACAATCCCTCGACGACGGCGGAGTAGGCCGTCATGTATTAGGATAAAGTTTTCGCCGAGAGACCAAAGAACACTCGCTATAATGTAGTCCAAGTTCTCAAAAGGGATCGGCAAGGAGGCCGGACCGTAGTAAAGTCGTTCCGCGTAACGATCCGATTTTAATTTATACCGAACAATCGAAAATTCCGTTTGAATAAAAAATAATAATAATAATAGAATTTAAATGCCACGGGGACTTGGGGAGACACGACTAAAAATGTGCAGCCAAACACCGTTGTCGGTCGTTTCCGTTGGTTTTATTATAGTATGTAGTGCATACGGGTTTAGCACAGCGTAGGTGTACAGTGTAATAATAACAGTAGAATTAAATGGCGTTCTGTGCAGGTTTAAATCTAGTGCGTAAATTGATGGGATACAACAAGGAAAACGTCCAAAACTTTTTTACGTGTTTGTTCTTTTGCCGCCACTGCCATAGATGGGAGATTTACGTTTTTTAATTTAACCAGTCCGGCCCACCGAGTAACTTTGCATTCTGTGCAAATATTTTTTAACGGTGCGGAAATTGCGTTTCGCATAATACATATTATGATAATATAAAGCCGTCGATACTTTTAGTAATCGCATTAGCCCATTGTGTTCACTGCCGCATTAACACTAAGAATAGTGTAAGTACGGCGTATAACGTATTGCGCAGGTTTAAAATATACCATAGTACCAACGCAACGGCAGATGATATTTTTCGATAAAGCGTCCGTCCATTGATCAAATCAAACGTCAACGGGTCGACGTTTTCCTTTTGGTTTGTTTTCCTTAATAATATAATAATGTTATTTCTAGTGGCGCCGGTAGTTTTAATGAAATGAATAGAAGTGTATGATCTCGAGGGCGAGAGAGAGTGGTGCGGCGGAAGGTAGCTATGAAAGGAGAAATAATAAACCGTCGACGGCCCCGCAATTAAATAAATATCAACCGAGTTTTATACATTAATTGCGTCGTCATTGTTGCTGTAACGTTGTGAGTCGCTTCTGTTCTGTCTTCGGGAAAACGTTATTCAAAGAAGCAAGCAAGAAATGGTGGGACAAACGCGTAGTGACGAGTAGTAATGAAATTAATTTTTCTTTGAGTGAGAATAAGAATAACACAAGACGGTTGAAAACAACTTTTTGTCTTGATTCCGCTTGATTAATAATTTTAAAAAACCGCGATTCAAATAATATTGTTATTGTTAACAACGCTTGTGTTATAAGCTTCAGGAAAATATAGATAAAAAACATCCCGCATTGCCCAAAATCTAGAATAGTTTAAACTAAAATAATAAATATTTAAATTGTCTTGAAAAAACGTTTGACTGTATTTTATTTATAGAAAACACAACTTATCTTTTGTAGTTAAAATGTCTCTAAGAAAATACATTAATTAATATTCGCATGAACGCGACGATATTCAACATTTCAACAAAATACAATGATTTAGGTGTTTAACAATAACATACCGATATCTTATTAGTACAAATACAATTTACAACCACTACATTGATGTACTTGTTTTGCATACACTGTGCGCCTTATAATATTGCACAGTTTTATGATTCAGTAGTAATAACTAATTCATTAATACAGGGTGACCTTTTATCATAGGCCACTCAATATCTCACTGGATTTAATTAATAATTACATTTTTTTTTCATAGCGTTTTTAAATAATGTGATCTCAACTTTCCACAAATTATTATGGTTCTACTCCCTCCCAAACTAGTTTTTTTGATAGCAACTTTTGAAAATTAAATTGTAACGTATATATAAACTTTTTAAATAAAAAATCTTAGTGTGAAGTTAAAATTAAATGTAAATTGGTAAACCATTACCTATAGTACAGGAACTTTATTTTTGCTAAGATTAATTTAAGTATTTTATTTTGCACATTTCTAAGCCATTCATTGGTAGAAAGAGGAAAGTAGTTTGCAGAAGTACTATATATTTTTATTATGTAAATATATTTGCCGGATCTAATATGCTAAACGTCTTGCAATCCGAATCTGCACAATTTTGTTTGTATATTTTCTAATTTGAGTTTGTTTTATACGTAAAATAAAATCCTTATTTCCCCCTTTTTATATGATAATGATACATGTCTATTGTTGACAAGACATCAGCAACACGGTACATAGTAACGTCATATCTAGATTAAAAAAAACGTAAAAATGATGATGGCCTGAAGCGAACTTGGAAAGTTTCTTCCAATCTCTGGTTTCCTTTTGTTTATATATTTTAACGACTCGATACAAGCTTAATATGTATTTGAACTCTTGCTCGAGTAGATAAACACTCGCAAAGGTCGCTAGAATAACGTAAACCTTATAATAAATAAAACCCTAAATGACTACAGTTTTATATCGCACGCTATAAAAAGCTAAAATGTAAAAATAAATGAAAGTAAGTAGTAATAAATGAATTAAGTAGACGTGACAACAATTTTTTTTTTTTTTTAACATCATTGCCTATACTAGTCGTACAAATCATTATATAGAATTGATCATATAATAAATATAAATTATGAGAGCTCAAGTTAAATGTAGCACACCACAATGAATTATTTAAAAAATCGCGATTTTAAAAATGGAAATTAATGAACTGGATGGAAGTATATGTAAGCAAAAGAAAGAACCTAGTAAATAGTTTCAGATTCCATGTTTAATTTTCGAAAAGAAAATTGGATAGTATTGTGCGAATAGTGGGAAAGTAAAGGGAATCGTAAGAGTTTAAACGGCCAGGCCAATTTTCATTAGCTCCACCATTGTCGGACGTTGTAAATCAAGTGTGCACTTTGAACACACACGTATATTGTGTTGTCCATTACTAGATACTGACACAATTGTTAATGCATCTTTGTATTGTATATGAGGGTCGCTGTGTACAATGTGCCCTCTTAGTTTGTGTGTGTATCGATCTATGTAGAAACAGACGTTTGCCTGGGAAAATTGACACAAACGAATCGCTTGTTCACGCAATACAATCCCCCCTCTCTCGTCAACTATATCGTCTAAGAAATCATGATTAGATTGTGTTAGGGCAGGTTGACGACTGACGAATGAACTGCACACATCAAAGGTCGCCGAATTACATTTTTTCCCGGAGACGGTCGAGTTAAGAAACAAATCCGTTTTCCAGCCGTCTCGTCTCTATAATGTTGGTTTGAATATAATTTACAATCGTTCAAAATAATATTGTACACCAGTCGATTCGTGTGTATTATAGGTGCATAATAAAAATGGCGATAGGAGGAAAAAATAAACGGCAATTTGTATAACGGCGGCACACAAATCCTTTAGTAGGATTACCTCGTTCTGCTTGGGTATCCATCGCTAACGCGAACCGCTTACGGGATAATGTGTAGGTATATATACATATAAATATATTTATATACATATTTTTTTCCCGCCACTTACCCGCAGAGTTTATATCCGAACGAATGAGGTAATATGCAATTCCGCATTCAAACTGAAAACCAATTACTACGAAAATGAATTAGGTTTTTTTTGGTGGATTTTATCAGAACGGCGACTTTAATGCGCTAAAAACATTAAAATATGCTTGCAATTTCTGTTTATTTAAAATTGCTTTCTACAGTACGATAAGCGCTAAAAATATTCTTAGAAAACGACAAAAAAAAGTTAAAATATTATAAATAAATTTCAGTTAACAGTTTTAGTTCATATTCCAGTTGAAAATATTCTGCTTTAAAATAATCAAATAAGGATACTAATTGTAAGTTAACATATTTCAGTAAATCCACGATATTTACTTTATCTTTTCCCATCATACTTATTGTCTTTTATATAATAGTCTACATATTCATTCTATATAATAATACTATTTTGCTAATAATAACTAATACTTCTACGACTATCATAAGTTTAATGATATTTTTATCCTGATTCTTTAGGAGACAAGGCACCTAAACCAATATGCGGTTAAAGGAAGTAAATAAACTAATATCAGACTATAAGTATGCATGTTACTCAATTTATGTAAACTTCGACAAAAGAATCATGTACAGTAATTTTACTGTGATTGTATTGTATATTAACAATAGTTACTTCTACATTATGAGTTTACATGTAATACTGATACATAATCACATGGATTTGAAAGTCAGAGCACG